GGTCTTCGTAAGCGTTTGCCAGAACTCTACGCGATTATTGGATTGATGGTAGCAAGCAAAGACTGCACATCTGATGACTGTTGACAGCAAAGGCCGACAGACAAGCTACAACTTGCTTCGTAGCAACGTTGCTTGGATCAGACCTATCTATATTGCCTCTGTCGAATCTACCCCTTGTTCTGCTAAAGCGCAATCCCTGAATCCCCCAGCTACTCCTGTAATCTATTGCCCTCATCTTAAAGGCCTGTCCATGAAGCATGATAGCTCATCAACTATCAATGTGGTGCAGAGAGTGCCAAGTCCTTCTTTGCGGATGGTGCAGGTGCTGTGAGGATTGGAGATGGAGAAACTTCGCTCGCCACCGTCGCAGGTTCAGCCTGCGTTGCAGGCTCTTACGATGCGTTTTCTACAGCAAGTTTAAGACTTAAAAATCATTCTCGCAAAGCCGGACATGTGAGAAGGGATGATGTCTGTCATTTTTTCAGGCATGATCTGATGGTGAAGAGTCATGGCATCTTTCCTTCCACGGTGTTCTTGATTTGAGGTCCGAGGTTCAAAGCTCTGAGTTCTCTGGCCTCACCAATGTGTGCCGGCTCTGAACTGACAGGCGGTTGCATGAGCCATGGCCCTTGACATGATGTGGTTCTTCCGATACCTTCTCAGTTCCACCTCTCGTCTCAAATTTATTTGTTAAGCTGCCAGGCTTATCCACGCTTCATGGAAGAGAACTCTACAGGCTTTTTGCGTGTCGGCATGGATACGACCTGCGCTTGCTGACCAATTTAAGTGGGAGATCTTCTGAACAGCCACGTATGCATTGCATGATTGATTGGCGCCGGCTTGCCCACAACGCACAAGACCTGCCTGCTCGTTGGCATCTTGACGGTTGGCATGTGCAGACAACAGCCTGAGCTCAAAATCATGGACCGCATGATCGTCGTCAAACATTCATTGGCAGAGAAAATAAGAATTGCGCCAGCAGCTGCTTGCATGATAAGAATTGTGGCAGCAGCTGCTCGCATGAGGAGAAACGGTCAAACCGGCTGATGGGAAACCTGCCAACATATGCATCCAGTCTGAGTACGGCTATTGCCAGCCCTGATGCTTTCCTTCTTTCCGGTGGCTGCAAAAGAAACACAAACTGTAGCAAAATGAAAGCAAGCTTTTCACGACTCGGATGCAGCTTAGAGGCCACAGCAGCAACGCCAGGAGGGCCAAGAGAATGCTGGAGCTTTCCTGAGCTCAGGTACTGGACCCAGGCTGCAGTAGGGCTTAAGGACCATTATACCCAATACTGCAAAACTATTTGAAAAAGAACACGGAAAATGCCATGGCAACTGAGTTTGTATTTTGGCACCTAGATGAGCACTAGATTTTGGAACATTTTCAGAATCTTGCTCCTCGAGATGATGGAATCCCGGAGCTGAGATAGTGACGTCTGCGCTTGCAGCGTCTCAGTTGTGGATGTCTGTATCCGTGCTAACCGCAGGGTTCAACCCTCTCAAATCCCTTCACCTTACCAAGGCCCGAACGAAATCCCTTGACTGCACACTTCTACTGCTTTGGCCGCTGAAGTGCCGAGGCAATGAAGGACCTCACCGCAGCAGCCAACAGCAGGGCGGCAGCGGAACGAAGATGCCACACCTGGAGGCTTCTCTCATTCTTGCGCCCATTTTTGTGGGTCCAGTCTTTCTGGTTGCAATGAAGGCTAGCATGTCCGAGTGGCCCCAAGAAGCGCTTTGGCAAGATCTTGTCTTAGGAAGGAAGTTGTAACAATGATGTGAAAAGGCCTGAGTTTGATTGTTTTTCTCAGCTGGGTTGTTGATGTCACGGGGATGTAGAGATCTGTGCAGGAAGCTGTGGGCTCCAAACTTGTGCTTTTCAAATCGTAGGAGAATTTGCCTTTTGGGATATCTTGAGGACAATGGGGGCCATTTCGGCTCTCATGATGTCTCGGCCATGCTATCTAAACTTGCCTCCAACGTCAGCCCAGCCATTGCAACATGGCGCCAGGGCGCAGCAAGGCTTCACGCGATAATGACAAGCTCATGGCTTGAGCTTCAGCCAAGCTGTCTTTATGAGCTTTGCGTTCAGGGCCGGACTACTTGTTTGAGTGGTTGAGGGCTGGAGGTGTTGGGCTTAGAGTTGAAGGCCGAGGCGCCAAGTCGTAAGACATCTTGAAACGCGTATTACAGAAAGTAACATGGCACGAGGCATGATGCGGCATGGGGTTTCTCAAAATGGGGCTCCCTGAAAGACCCTTCGGGATTGTGGGATTGCAAGCATCTCAGCGGCTGAGACGGTTGTTTTGAGCTGCAGCTGTCTAGGGTTGAGGGTGTTTGGGGTGTTTGGGGTGTAGGGTTTAGGGTTGAGGGTTGAGGGGCGTGAAGCGCGGCATGGGATTCTAACCTTTGATCCGACGAAGGCACGGGCACCAACGGCACGCTTCAGGATGCATCATCAAGGTTATAGGGGGCGTATACGAATTTTCACAGATTTGCAGCATAAACAAACTGGTGCTTCGGTCTCGTTCCGGAGTTGGCTCGCTAGGCTAGACAAAGGCTGCGTGGGCACCGTATCAAGCATGAAGGCCCCTTGCTCCCAGTGGCACAATGCATCTCGACAAAGCCCCCCCAAGGAGCGTGAGTTTGAGAAAGCCTTCGCAAAAAGCTTGCCATCATCCGTAGGAGTTTCACTGCAGCCGTGCCTTACATGACGGGTCCCATCATGTCGGCCTTTGTAACCGTGACAAGAGGAACTTGTTTTGCTTCACCCTAAGCCCCTAAAACCCTGATCCCTCTACCCTCTACCCTGACCCTTCTCACATCCAGCAGAATGACCGTCACGTACCCGAAAGGCCCTACCCCCCAAAATCCGGAGCCCCCAAACCCTAAGCCGCCTTCACCCCCAAATCCCTTTTCTGGCTCAGTCATCCAGCTCGATTGTCTGGACCGGCCGGCTGCGCAGCGTCCGGAAGGAAGCTGAAGGAGGAGAGGACTGAGGCCTGGTTCAAGGTAGAGGTCTGAATAATTAGGTCCCCTTTACAGGTATTAGACAGGGATATATAAGGGTTATTAGGCTGAATCACCTATACATGTGGTGTAGCGGGAATAAAATTAGAACCGAGTTTGTGGCATTTTGAGGCATATAGCTGTATCCTTAGGGTTGGAGCATCTATTGAAAACAGGCTTTCCTTGCAAAATGCAACTGCAAATGTGTTGAAACTTTCAAAGGACCCCCAACAGGAAAGCGGCGTTGCTGCATGCTGCAACTAGCACTGCCACTAGTCTAATCACTGAGCAACTGTAATCTCACCCTGATCCTGAAACCCCTGTGACAAACTGAATATCTGCAAATAGCAGGGTCAATCAGGAGATTATCGTCTCCACATGGCCCAAAGAGAACTGCTTCCTCATCTCCAAGCCCTGCCCGCGTTGATCCCATGCCCCTTCTCGTCCCGCATCCTGGTTCATTTCGCAGCTGTTGCTTTGTTAGTTGCGCTTGCCATGTTTGACCTCCCCTGCAGCAGTGCAGCTTGTAAACGTTCAACTCGCAACATGGATACCATGGAAAGGAGTTCCGGCAGATGCAACAGATGTTTCATTGATTCTCACTGCACCAGCTAACCCTAAAATGCTGACATGCAGCTCCGTAGGCGTCAGTGGCAGATCCGAAGCGGACGCTTTGGACGCTTTGCGAGGGCTTTCGCACATCTCGCAATATGGAAGCTGCCTGTCATTCTCGAACGTGCACCTTGCAGCTAGACGCGGTTCCTGTGAGATCTCTAGAGTTTCTACCCGCTGTCCTAGACCCTTTCTTGGCTCAGCGTGAAGAGGCAAGCCTACTAGTTCGTGCAAAGATTTGCTGGACTCAGCACCCATCAAGCGCCTCGACCCTCCCAGACCTCAACAATGTTTTCTTGTCTCAAACATTTCGTACTGTTGTGTGTGATTCACAGCTACCCACCTGCTGCACATCCACGGTTCTGAGCCTTCTCCCGCCCTTGGTCAAGGGCCACTGCTTAGTATGCACAAGGCTGCCTGCAAAGATAACTTGCTGATGCTTGTAGGGTCTGTCAACCAGGAAGCATTGTTCTGTTGGCTGCCGGTACGACCCTTAGATCCTGCGCGCTCAGATTCGGAGAAAACCTCAAAGTGCGGCTCAGCTGCTCCTCTGCTTCCTTGGCTTTTGCTTGTTTGTAATTACTGTCTCCATTATCCTTCTTGATGCTACTGCCTCAATTAACCGTGGCAAGTGCAGGTCTCTGACTATGGTCCGTCGTAGGTGCAGCATGCTGGACCAGGTCGCTAGATACTTTTTGTGGGTGAACAATCCAGGATGTCTGCAGAATGCATGTCTGAATCTGCCAGCTTTGCTATCATGCTCTGGACATGCCTTGCAGGGTTCGACCGCAATCATGCTAGATGTACGACACTGGCTGCGCAACCGCTAAATTTTAGAAGAGGCGGCCTCTCATATACAGCCCAAAGAAACTCCAAGGAAGGGACCATACGGCAACAATCAAGAACAATGGTGACATTCTCCTCGCTGACGAAATGCAAAGAACACCTCATAGCCTTGAGTAGAAACTTCGACAGTTCTGCGGACAGTTCTTTCTGTTTGGACTAGCATTATGACCAGCAACTTTGATTTCGAGCATCTACTGTGCATCCCGTCCCGTTACTACGATTCATTGCTATGACTGCTGCTACCACAGCGCGAGGGTTTCAAAGGACCGCCTCATCCCTGCATCTGGGGATCCCAACGGCCAGCATGATGGGAAACTCCTAGCTATGTATACACAGATATATATACATAATCCCAATGTTCATTCAATTCTCCATTTTCTTTTGCATTTAGTTTTGCATTGTTGGAGGTAATAAGCCCTAAGCCTCAACTGATAGCGAAGCTTCCATTTCTTTTCAATTCTTCGATATATCCATATGAAAGGCTTGACCCCTTTAGCAATGGAACCCCTCACATTCTCATTGCCTCGCGTCTGGAGAGTCCTGCACAGTGGGGGCCTGGGAGTCGTCCTGCGTAGGGGCCTGGGAGTCCTGACTCATCAGTCATGTGGGAGTGTCCGAAACAAGGTTTGCTCTTGCAAGTCCCTATCATACGTCTTGATGCAATGTAGTTCTGGCTGGTGGATGGAGCCTAGGGGTCGCCCAACCGTTCGTCGGAGGACCTGCGCCGTAACAAGGAGGGGAACCAAGCATTTCACCTCTGGATGATGCTGTTTCTTACATTCTGGCCATCACAAATTCAAAAAAATAGTTGTATAGAAGGAATGGGGATTGCAGATTGGAGCCTCATAGACATGCTGAAGCTGTTGTCGCTTGAAGCCTCCGTGCTTGTAACAAGCACGCGCATGACTGTTCCCGAAGCTCTGCCCTACATCATATCTGGTACGGACCCCATTAATTCCTTTATAGCACACGGCCCCTCACAACTCATGTAACCACCAACCCCATCTCGAGGCCTCGAGGCAGTTTCACGTGAGCGTTTTGTAGGAGATAGACGGACTTGCAGAGATTCTTGAGGATATAAGGGGTCTAGGGGAGCTATAAGAGATCTACATCCCCAACCTCAAGTTCTGATCATGTTTATCCCACTTCAAACCCGACATATACTTACACGTGAAACTTGAAGTCCGAAGCAGGTCAGATGGGCATCTAAAGCCTATACTTTGGCCTCCCCGACTTTTGATGTTCTGTCTATCGGCGCTACCTGCTAGAAGGAAGGAAGGGGTAGACTGGCCGCAAAGCGGGTGCACCAACCCCCCCCTTCTAAAAAGGAATTTCCTCAGTAATAGTACCACATTGTAATCTGGGGAGTATCCATTAGGGGCCGGAAGGGCTTCATCACTGAGGGGAGAGGATAATTTCCAAACACAAGGATTGTCTTGTTTTTCCCCAAGTGAACCATTGCACTTCCGAAATGCGACCCTGTTTTTGCCCCATCTATCATTCCGTGCAATTTCAGCTTCGGTCCTCCACTGTAATCTGCTCTTGAGATCGAAGCTTCTTCTGCGCAGGCTCCTCGCAAATGAGATTATATACTGTAACTGTAGAAGCCTAGAAATTTGGAATACGGATTTTGAAGTTCTACTGGAGTTATGCAGCATGGAAAGGAAGAATGTTGGTAATAGCTTAGGTTCCACCCTAGATGAAGTATTGGTGTATGTCAGGTTCCAACCTCAGATCACAGGATCGGATCTCGAAGTGGGGCCATTTCTTGGGCATCCGAAAAACATAGAAAGAGCAACAACACCACAAACCCTCCGTGTGTATAAGCCTGCGAGACATACGCCCTTCGACGTGAACTGATTTTAGATGCAACCTGCCAAGCCCTTGTTATTGGTCTTAATGTGTTTTTTTTATCGGACCTTCTCCCCACTTGAATATCCAGGCTTAATGTGGGTTTACTATAAGATACAATGAATATTTCCAACATAACTTGATGGACATGGGTTCCTTATCGGGGACCATATTAGGAACTATATAAATGTTGCTATTCTATCATTAAAGTTGTTCTGACTATTTGTATTATTCGGACTCTCATCTTTCGGCTCTTCTTATTCAGGGTTTCCAAGAATCAGGGGCCCATGTTGGGGAGTCCCTATAATAATGATTATGCTATGTTGGGTTCCTACTGGACCCCTCTATCTTTGGAAACAACCATTCTGATTCTTGTTTTCTTGAGGCCACTAATGTGTTTGATGAGGAGGCCCAGTGGTGTGCCCAAAAATATCGGGCTAGCAGGGTTAAATTGGCTTGAGGATTTGATGCGGCTCATGCAGAGAAGCTCCCACGTAAGGACATGAGGGCAAAAACTTACTGGCGGTTCGCAGGGAATAGAGAAAGAGACCTGTGTAGTACTCCCTCGAAACCTTTTCCTTCCCTCCCTCCTGATCACCCTAGACCCTAAACCAGAAAGTGATTTCCATTCTCTTCCCATCGAAATCTTCATTTCCTACTACTCACCCTCAACCCCCCAACCCTAAGCAAAACAAATTATTAATGCAATCATTTAGGCCTCTACGCTACAATTCTTCACACATTAACTTGAGCCTACTTTCCACTTCATTTCCATCTTTTTCAGTTGGTTCTCTCTGATTGAAATGATTTAAGCTCCTAAGCCCAGAGCAGTATAGCTGCTCCTGTTTTCTTTTCGGCTCCCCCTATACCGACCTATACAATCTTGAAAGAACTTTGTATTACCCATGGGTTACCCCGAACCTAAGCCTTTTTGAAGGATGGCAAATACAACAGTAAGAGACATATGTCCCCAGATAATCCCTATATATCGTAGTTTACATTTCATCGTCCATCTTTCCATTTGACTATCCATTGTTGGGGTGATGATCCTTTAGCGCTATCCCCAAATAACACAGTAGCTTCCAATTTTGTCTTCCATTCCCCTACATACCCCTACATAATCCGAATATATCCCCCCACACACCCTATATAGCCCTAGATACCGCTTTTAGATTTTTGAATTTTCATTTGAACGAAACTTGTTGGAGGTTCTATCGGGATTCTGGAATTATACAGGATTCTATATTTAGGGTTTATGTATAACTCAAGAATTTCTGTTTCATTTGCATGGCTCATGAGGCCTGGGAATCATCGGCGATCTCCACTGGCCTTGCCTTTTTGCATGGCTCCTGCGATTCGAGGCAGATTACCAAATACTGTCACTAGTGCTATCTATAATAGTGATTCCGCAGGACCATGGGTATTTACCCAGTAGGGCTCGTTGTGCATGAATTTTTAGAGAAACATCCAGATTAGGCGGGGATTTTACCACCATCTAACCTTGTTGCGTCTCTGGAGGAACGTAGGAATGCTTAGCATTGATAGGCGTCTGCACAGTAATGGCCTGTAAGTCCTTACAACGTGGCAAGTTGGAAGGCTCGCTCCGGACGAGACAGGGCACAAGAAGCTTCCTCAATGACAATCTCAAACAAAAGGCAATTCCGCAAGTTCCTCGCCAATCTCATCGTCGACCTCCTGCACGCCTCAGAATTCCATGGTCGAACTTGGCCTCCAAAAAAAACTTTTTGAGATCTAGGTAATTTCTTGCTATCCCTCTCTTTCTTTCTTTCTTTCATTCGGGCTTTGGGGAGAACAAATGGTCCCCCCAGGCTTCAGTGCCTAGCCCCCTGTGGGCTGTTTGGATGACTGCCACCCCTCGGTGCTTCACATGGTGGGAAACCGTGGTGCTAGGGTTTAGGGTTAAGATAACTCACAACATCATTTGAGGGATCAATGAGCTTGCCCAACCATTGTGAAGATTTTGCAGGGTCTATATGTTTGGTGCCTACCCGTCCCACTGCAGGCACTTGGGCTTGTGATGGCTTGTGTTGTGTCAAACTTTGCGATGTGTCAGAATCTCCTCCTCCTCCTGCAGCAAGAAGCCTAAACACCTCCCCTGCACAAATTCAGAAGGTTCCTTCAAGCATCGAGACCCTGATAAAATACCACATGTCCCCCCAAGTGTCTTTTTCCATCTGCCCCAGCTCGCACCACTTTTCGTGCCAGCGCGCTCAACGCAGACACCGGAGCCGGTGCTTTGAAGAAGGTGTCGATTCGCTTCTGATGTGCGGCGCCTTCAACTCATCCCCGTTTCGCAAAATACTGCTGGGTTTATGGTTGAGGCAACGTAGGAAGTAGGCGACTTCTTTTTGAACTGGAAATACCACTAGGCACGGGCAAGGGCAGCCATCAACTCTATGATCCCCTGCTCCTAGCTCAGTATCAAACGCCCACCCCAACCAGCTACCTACGTATACCAACCCCTAAAATGTATGGTCATGTGAAGGACACGTTCAATTCCAAGGGGTAGCGAGGGTTTCGAACCCACGGCAGGGGCGTGACTTCCAATGATTCTGACAAGTCATCCACTTATCCCAGTCCCCTACGCACGTATTTTCTAAGCACTCAAGAACCCCTTCATAACCCTGTCATACTCCAAAAGTCTCCAATGGTCCCGTAGCCACATGGTTGACAAAATGCCTCCAGGCTCTTTGACCTTCCGGAGACGCTCCTTGGGCAGATAACATGCTCCAAAGACACAAATGTTTCCTTACCCGAGCTGAGGGGGAGTGGGGAAGGGAATATAAGTACCATTTCAGGGGGTTATAACGGATATTTACAGATCCACTTCCCCACTGCAGCTTAAGCAACAAAAATTGAAATTGCGGGCCTACTTGCCATGGGGGTGCCTAGCGGGGATCGTATAATCAAAACAAACCTCCATCACAATTCTTATGGTCCAGTGTAATATGCAGCCCCGCATAACCCCAGTCTCCATGTCATGTTCCAGTTTCTTTTCATTTGATTCTCTGTTAGTATCGGGGCAGTATCCTAAATGCGAAGCCCTCTGCCTCCTTCATCCCTACATTATCCAAACCACTGTAGAGACCTTCGCCTGAGTGTGCTCCCATACCTAAGGCCGGCTCAACCATTGTGTTGACGCGCCCAGGGTTGAACCTGGGCTTGTCGGTTGACACGACATGTTTTTTTTTGGTTCCTGGAGCTCAGGTAGGACTACTTAGTAATAGGGGTTCTGGGGTTTAACAATGGCGGTTCTTGGGCATATCAAACATACCTACTAGGTCAATACAGCCTCCCAGTTTAACCATGCAGGATGAGGTCCACTTCCAGCTGCTGGAGGTCCAGCTTAAGATGTGTTCAGAATGCTTTTTGGCCTATGGAACTGGTGCTTTGTAAAGGCCATTGCATGATGATCATGGGATCCCAACTGACATGCCGCTGCTAGCTTTTACTGCTCACTTGGTTACTACTTGCCCACCAGCGCAACAGTCACAACCTCACTTTCCCTATGCTACTATTTGGACTGCTGCAGGCTGATTCTGATGGGGAATGCTCTTTAGGAAGTGTGTCGAATGGTCTCTTCGTGTCCTTGTGTCAATAAAGGCATTCCCTACCAACCTTGAGAATCGAGAATCTTCACTGGGCACCATTAAACCCTAGAACCCGAACGCCTCAACCCCATAAAACCCGAAACTGCCACGCAGCTCGAACTTCAATCCCTCAGCACCATACCTCACACCCTATACCCTACGTTGACTCCTAATTTGAGCAGGACGCTCTGTAAACTTGAAGGTAGACCCAACATACCCGACAATGTTCGAGTACCTCACATTTAGGATGGCATCATCCCTAAAAAGCCCGCACCAAACTGCAGAGGCGCTGGTGCTTGTCCACCAAAAGGCTTCGGAAGGCCTCCAGATCCAGTTCTGGGACCGGCAACTCGGTGTCTGCCAGCTCAGTGGGACCTCCGACCCAGGCATCCTTCTTAAAGCTACCAGCTTTACTAGCCTTATGAGTGTTACACAACTTTTCCTACTGTCATGAGAGTGGCTATCCAATATGCGATCCGTCATTCACAATACCATATACATGGCATGCCAAGCGCTCTTGTTGGTGTTGTTGTCGTTGGTCTTTGCCCTGTCAAGCCTTCTCTCTCTCTCTCTCTCGCCCTGTCAAGCCTTGTTTCGCAAAACAATTCACAGAAAAACACTGATCTTATTCCGCATTGCCATCCCTAACCTCATGATTGCCAGTTGCTATGGCGATTATGCTGATCGCTGTAGCGGCTGCTACTATTATTAGGGTGCTTCCTCTGTGACTTTTGTGCTTGGCATCATTGTGCCAGACTTGACTCGTCCATGCTATTTCAAATGTCACATTCTTGCTGCATTTGCCTGGCTGTTGGTCTTCTTCGTCAATCTCTCGACCATAGGGTGGTCTGAATGATTAAGACTTGCCTCTCACGACTGCATGATGGACTTGGGAAGAGCAGTATACCTGTAGTTGCAAGCTTTCTGTCCAAGCATGAAGCTCAGCCTGAACCGTAGACCCACCCGACTCTGTACTGCGCCTTGGAGGAAAATGTGCTTCGCCTTTGCCCAGTCCCAATCGTCAGGTATCCTTGGAAGATGGATTATACAAGCATCCGCAAGGGAGTCTGGGTTTATTAATGCTGCAAGTTTTTTGTTGAGCTCCTATGAGGGGCCGGAGGGAACTCCTTTTTTTAAATACGCTGACGAACTCGCCGAAAACTTGCATGGGCTGGAGAAGAACACATTTGGATTCCCATGCGCGAGTGGGGCACGCCGTGCTTGACCTCGATCATAAAGGCTCCTCCGTCCACAGACAGGAACTCCCGAGCCGCAGCGGCATGCTCATAGCCCTGGAAGAACTTCATCACCTCAGCCTTTCCCTGGTGTACTATCGGATCCCGCAAGGTGTTCTGCGCCAGCAGGCCTAGCCGTGCGTCCGACGCCAGTTCGGGCTCTGAATCCACGCCTCCATGGTAGCTTTGGCACACTGACGCCAGTCTGCCCGGCCTGGCCCATCGCCTGAGACAACTGTCACTCTTTAACGAGTCATGCGTCATTGAAGCCTGCATAGCCCCCAAACGCAAGTGAAACCCTTGCACGCTCGTCATACCTAGCTTTCAGCTGCTTTCGGCTGAGATCATGGCTTGCCCTCCATCTGGGCCCCGCGTCGTTCAGGTCTACCGTGTTGCTTCTGAAAGTAGCCATCCAGACCTTGATGTCGAAGATCTAGCCTTCAGCGTTCACATCGAAAATGTTGGCTCCAATGCGACCCTGACGATCGCCCCTCATCATCTCAATGGCAAAGGCGCCAGGGTCAACAGACAGGAGCTTACGCGCCGTGGCGGCATGTCTGTAGCGGTGGAAGAAGGACAGGACGCCGTCAATGCCATCGTGCGTATTGGCTCTGTGGTAGTGCATCAAGTACAAGTCCTCTGTCAGAAGCTCACTTTCTCGTTGATGTGGTCCAGCCACGCCTCCAACGTGGCCTTGGCTGCCTCAGGGAGGTCCGTGCTCTGGGAGAACGCGACTTGCTTCGATGCCTTCGACGGCTTGGCCCAAACAAGTGGGTCGACCCTGCCGAAGTAGTTGCAAATCTGCTGCTTTGCTTGCTCCAGACGACCCTCGTCCATTTGCAGGTTGAGGGGGTCGTGCTCCAAAAAGTGGCCGAAGACCGTCGCGCAGTCCTGCTCGCACATTTTCGTGTACCTGGTCTGGCGTCTAAACACCGGAGCTCGCTCAAAGCAATAAGAAGCCTAGCTGAACATCATCATGCTGCAAGCACCTGGCGATGCCAACCAAGAAAAAACAACTACAATTTCAGGGCTGGCGGCATGACGTGGGCCTGCCAGGCATCAAGGACCATCTTGGAGGCCAACGGTGTCCTCCCCATGCCCATCAAGACGAGGAGCTTCGCGTACTCGTCAGCGGCCCTCTTCGCCTTCTGTTCTGGGCTTTGCCAGGGCTCAGGCCTTTTGGGACAGAAGCTTGAACCTTGCCCTGCTCTCGCCCAGCAGCTTCTGCAGCTTCTCCAACTTCTTCCTTTTCTGAAGCTTCTTCTCCAGGGGCTTCAACGTCTTTGCAGTGTCCAGGCCAGGGCGTTGCTGGATAAGGCTCCCAGACTGGCACCCTTCGGCCTCTGTTCCGGCAACGGTTGCAGCAGAAACCTCCAAAGCCGTCAAGAAAGCCATGAGGCATGCAGCTTTCAGGGCCCGCAAAGGCTTTGCGCCGTGCTGGCAGCGTTTGGTGTGATGGCTGTGAGGAAGCCTTGCACTGTTCACGTGCCGGCAATGCCTCAGGGCCAACATATGCAGACGGAATCAACCGTAGTTTGGCACAGCAAAGACCAACCTAAGCCAAATGGCAACAAGAAGGTCTTTCAACCAAAGCCCTTGCGACTGCCTTGCCTGAGACAATCTCGGGTGAGGCATAGTTCGGCGAGCCGCAGGAAGCTTTCAGGAACTCTCCATCACGCCTCGTCCGAGGTGATACGCGATAGGTGATGGAAACATGACAAGGCGAGATTATGCGAGATCTTGCTCGAGCCCGGACACGAGCACAAGATCTGAATCCTCTGCAAAGTGACTCACCAGAGGATGGGTCGGGATGGGGAGGGATGCATAGTGATCTGTGCCAAGTGATAACGGCAGCCTGAAGCTCTCATGCATAAACCTTAGGACTTTACCACTTTGTACCGCAAAATCCTGCACAACGCAGGTTCAAGATTTTAAAGCAACCCCCAATTGCGTCCTGGCCTCGAACACCCTTTTGGGCCTTTGCCGCTCTTGATGGCGCAGACAACAGCTTCCAGGGAGCCTCTTCAGCGTCTACATATCCGAAAACTTAGGCAACCTATATTTAAGGACACCAAACCCTTGAACATATGCGCATCTTTACCGCTTAGTTTTGTTGCGACGTCATGCGACTCTTGCCCTCCACTGCAGTAGCAGCAGTGGCTACTGCAGGAAGTGCAGCAGTGTTAATTAGAAGCATCGAGGCGGAACAGGTCCTTCTTAAACTGAAAAGCAATTTTACATCCCAGCCTGGGATCCCAGCATACTTCATTTCTCATAATCAGGACCCCTGGCATCGGGACTCATCATGTTCAGAAACGGCAAAACATCACCCCAGCTTGCATTTCATCTTCCGTGTTCTCATATATTCAGTTCTCCACTACTATAAGTCCATCGGAACGGATTCCAGCACTGCCCACCTTCTCGCTGAAGGAGCTGGTAGGCCGTCTTTGGGCCTGGAGGCCAAGCTGCCACGCAACACCCGATGCTGATCCTGAAATGTGGAACTTAAAAAACAAGAAATATATATATATATGCACAATCTGACTGATATGAGATGGTATACATATATCATATACAGATTAAAATGTATATGGCAGGCCTACCCGCGGACCAGGATCATGTAACAGTGTAACAACCCCCGAAGACCTGCACCAGGGCCTGAGGGCCCCCGCCTATCTTTGACAGATGGGGAAGATAGTCGCATCCGGACAGGATGCAGAACTCAATGAAGCGGCTGAGGTCATGTGACCTCAGTCATATATATATATACATATGTATATACACACAAGTTTTCATCCTGTGTAGCATACACGGCTATACAAATAGCCGGACGCAGGACTTCAGACATCAACATATTCATAAAGAAGAAGATGGTTCTGGTGGGTTCATGGCGATGTTTTGCGTCCCGTGCCCAGTTTTAGGTTTTCAGGGTTTGAGAGGGAAACTTAGCCTTTGATTTGGGACAAATCTCAGAGTAGGTGAGGGTTTTGCTGGGTTGCAGCTGCCGGAAATTGGAAGGCATGGGAGCCTCCTTCGCAGGGCTGACATGCGCTCAGTCCACGATCTGTGTAATGCAGTTTTGTGTGTTTGCAATGGGGAAGCCCAGAGGTGGGTTTAGGGTTTAGGGTGCTTTGTGGTGGCATAAAGGGGGGTAGTCAGCAGGTCTGAAAGCGGCAGGACAGGAACCAACTTCTGTAACACGGCTTCCCAGCCGTTGACATGGCAAACCATGCAAGGACGGGTTGACGTTTTAAATTCTCCGGGCCTAAATATAGTACTTTTATTGGGGAATCGCAGCAGAAGGCG